CCCCAAAACCCCAAAACCCCAAAACCCCTTGTTATTAAAATCTGTTTTAGTTTTAAAAAGGATAAATTATAAATTAATCTAACAATAACTTATAAAAAAGCATAAAATGGCTAACAAAAAAGGTTATAATGAATAGTATGATGAAATGCAGAATGATGCAAATGGTCAGAGAGAAGGGGGAGGAAATTAAGGGAACAATCAAAAATCTAATAAAGGGAAAAGCAAGGATAAGAATAATGAGGATGCTGCTTAAGATCTCATTAATTATAAGGGAATTTATTATGACGATGACTAAGGATAGAAATACACTGACCCAGAGAATGGGGCTCATTTTGAATTCACTGATTTATGCCGTCGAATAAAGAAGATACTTTCGAAGGTCGAGTGGGTAAGTCAACATCCTCTTGAGGTGATTGAGCAGCAGGCTGCTACGATGTTAGCAATCGATCCTATTTTAGCTCATGCCAAAGAAGTCGTTTTGCAAAGAGAAAAACAAGCTCTTATTAAAGATATCACAGGCGCCAGTTAAGGCAAGAAAAGTCAGTAATCCCACTAAAAATAAACTGTTACTCAGAGCACACAAGGCAAGATGAGGGATTCTATGACATCTCAGCAAATGAGCCAGAATAAGAAAGATCTTTAATAGACATAAAATAGGGATTCAATTTAGCTTTCACAGCAACAACAACTTGAAATTTAACAATAAGCAATGCAGTAACAGCAGCAAAATCAGTAGTAATTATAGTAACAGTAGTAATAGCTTTTATAATAGCAGCAGCAGCAAATCTAAGAATAGCAATATCTTTAAAAACAACAGTAGATCTTGTAGTAATAGCATTAACAGCAAATGCAATAACAATAGTTATAATAGGCTTTGTAATAGTAATAGCAAGAAGCACTCCTCGCTTAGGCTAAATGGAGAAGTAAATCCAATGAGAATCAGATTAGTAACACTAGCAATATGGCCAATTCTCAAAAGATCCAGAAATCAACAATGAAAGTTCAGGAAGTTACCCTTCACCAGATTGGTATTGGATCTAATACTCTTGAGAATCCTTCATTCATAGATACATAGAGTGCTGCAAAGTTAAATAACAGAGGGAAGACGCCATAAAGTCTGAGTAAGTCAATTAGCAATGGGTAGTCTGGTTCGATAGAAAAGTGCAACAGTCTTTCACAGAATATGAAAAAGATGCAAGCAAATAAAATGGGATATAATGAATCTATTATTAGTGCAGCTGGAACAAATATCACTATGCAAAACTAAACGTAATTAACTTTTGTACTAATGAAATCTATATAGGAGATCATCACAAAGATCAAACAGAGAAAAGCAAAGTTCCCTATCAAATAATACATCAGGTGGGAACTAACTATATGCGAAGCCTTCAGTGCCTGCAACTTCTTAGTCAAGGAATACAAACAAGTACGTGAGTAGCAACACTTTCTAGTAAGTATCCTAAATAAAATTAATGACAGTTATAGCAATAATAACAACAGCAATCTCAATAACAAGACCCAGATTATTCAAAAATCTACTATTCCTACCCGCAATAACACTGATAATCTCATGCCAAATTTCAACAATAATAGCCTTGCAATTCAGAATTTTGGATCACTAGCTATATAAAGCACTACGATTGGAAATAGTGTTAGCAAATCCAGGAACTTGCAAAATAATATTTTCAGAACGACAGCATCGATAGGATCAGCGAAGGGGATTAATAAGAGTATGCTTTCAAATACTTAGACGAACATAGATCCCTCCTTGCTTATTGGCACTTCTTTATAAAATCAAGGCGCTCTTAACAAAAAGTTCGTCGACTCTATGGGCGGATTGGGCTCAGGCTCTCATACTAAGCAGATATCAGGCAGCAGCAAGTTTAACTAGACTATTGCTCAGCAAAACACTCAACTCTACTCCATGATCTATCAAAATAGACAGAAGAATATGGTTAGTAACTTTTTGAAGGGAGTAGACTAGAGGCAGCAATAGAAAACAAGTAATGGCGGCTCAATAGGGGCAGGCACCAATTCTTATCAGAAGGGAGTAGGCACATCCAGAAACTAGGGTCTGAATGCACCGACTGCAACGAAAAAGAATAATATGAATCGTAGCAATATAGTTGGTAGTTCTGGCAGTGGGAATCAAACAATGGACATTGTTATTAATAAATCACTAATTGGCAATAGGTTCTACTGACAGTGTCTTCATTATCGGGGCATAGATTAGCTTTGATAACTATAAAATAACATAATATATTAATTATTAATGATAATATTTGATAACATAATATGCTTATTAATAGATTAATTGCCCTTCGGGGTTTTGGGGTTTTGGGGGTTTTGGGGTTTTGGGG